TTTGAAAAGAAAGGAAATGTTTGCTTCTGGGAAGTTGGTTGATGGACTTGTTCCTGTTCTCCTGGCCAAGCACAGTTAAAAATGTAAGAAACCTCCGAGGGGTGGAGAGGAGGAGGCGGGCCAGGTAGGGCCCCCGGGCAAGCTCTCGAACGTGGTTTCCGTGGGGAAGGCAGGGCAGCCAGGCTGAAACATTTCTGCGAGTGTCCAGTGCCTGGCCCTGGGGGGTTAGGGCAGGGGATGGTGGCCCAGCACGCGAGACCCCAGAGAGCGCCTTGCAAAGGAGGAGGTTGGGGTTGGGTTTTGGGTGGGTTGGTGGGCCTACGGAAAGTATGCTTTGCAGAAGAGTCGTTTGTCGTCCCTAGGAATCAGCTAGCCTTGGAGGGGCAGTCTTTCCAGGGTTAGTAAGGCCCAGAATAAAAAGGCATGCTTGACATGTGAGCCGTTAAAAAACTTCAACACATTTAAAATAGTTGAAATAATAAAGAGTGTTCTCTGATGACAATGGAATCAAAGTGGAAATCAGTAACAGAAAGAAAATGGGAAAATCTCTGGACACTTGGAAACTAAACCACACTTCTAAATAAACCATGGGTCAATACATTGTATTAAATGGAAATAAAAAATCCAGCATATCAAAATTTGTGGGCTGCAGCGGAAGGAGTGCTGATCGGGAAATCATGGCACTGAGTGCATGCACTGGAGAAGAGAAGACTCAAGTCAGCCGTCTTCGCTCCCGCTTCAAGGATCTAGAAAGAGAAGTGCAAACAGGAAGAAAATATAAGGTTAGGAGCAGAAGTCAATTGAACTGGAAGCAGAAGAAGAGCACACTGATGAAACAGAGCTGGTTCTTTGAGAAGACCGATGAAATCGATGAACTTCTGGAAGGACCGACAAAGGGAGAGAGAGAGACACAAGTCACCAGCATCGGCTCCAACAGGCGCATCACCGCAGACCCTGCCGACGGTAGAGGCGCGTCACCGCAGGCCCACGGACCGCAGAGGGTGCATAGGACACTAACACGGTTTGCAGTTTACAATGTGATGGATCACTTCCTCAAAAAACACAAGCTATCGCAACTCACCAAATATGAAACAGACCGTCTGAAGAGCCCTGTGACTACTGAGGATACTGAATTTGTGAGAAAGAGACTCTCAGGGATGTCCAGGCCCAGATGGCTGCACTGGGGAATTCCACCAGGTGTTTCAAGAAGTTTGCCACCTGCTCGGCATAACTTTTTACAGAAGGTGGGGACCCAAGAACACGCCCCGGTTCATTTCGTGATGCTAGGGTTACCCTGATACCAAAACCAGACAAAGACAATACAAACTAAAACCCTACAGACCAATATTTTATGCAAAATTTTTCACAAAATTCAACAGCCATTCATGATAAAAACCCTTAGAAAAATAGGAATAGAGTTCTCAACTTGATAAAAACATCTATAGAACCCTACAGTTAAGATCATACCTTACATGGTGAAAGACTGAATTCTTTCCCCCTGAGATCAGGAACAAGACAAGAATTCCTGCTTTTACAATTCCTGCTCAACACTCTGTCCGAGTGCTAGCCAGTGCGACGTGGCACAAAAAAGAAATACAAGACACACAGATCATGCAGAAGAGATAACACTGTCTGTGTTTGCAGACGACACGACTGTCCTTGCATGAAAGTCTGAGGAAACTATGAAAATCTAGAACTAATGAATGAATTCAGCAAGATCACTGGATACAAGCAAATAAGCCAAGAAAAACGACATTTATTTCTACATACTAGCAATGAACATGTGACACTGAAATTAAAATACAATGCTATTTACAATCAGTCAAAGAAAATGAGATACTTACAAGTAAATCTAACAAAACTTTTATGACTTGTATGCTGAGAACTCAGAGCTGATGGACGAATCAAAGAAGTATAAGTAAGTAGACATGCCGTGTGTCTGGATAAGAAGATCTGACCTAGTAAAGATGTCAGTTCTCCCCAAATTGATATACAGGTTTAATGCCATTTTTACAAAAAAGGCAAGATTGTTTTTGTAGACATAGACAGGACTATTCTAAAGTTTATACAGAGAGGCAAAAGGACCAGAATGGCTGAAAGAAATCGAAAAAGAATAAAGTGGGAGGAGTTGCCCTAGCAGATTTTAAGGCTTATTTATACAGTACAGCTATCGAGACTGTGGTGTTGGGGGAGAGACAGAACAGAGATCAGCGGACTGGAGCAGAGGACCCAGAGGTAGCCCCACACGAATGTGCCCAATTGATTTTTAACAAAGTGCAAAAGCAAGTCAGTGGAGAAAAGAGAGCGTTCATCACTGGGTGTCCACAGATGACAAACTGACCTCAGCTGACGTCTCAGACCTCTTCTAGAAGTGAACACAAGACGGACCACAGACTGAACCTGGAGCATAAAGCCATACAGCTTTTAGGAAAAGCACAGGAGAAAATCTTTGGGATCGAGGGCTGGGCAGAGTTCTTAGACTTGACACCAAAAACACAACCCATAAAAGAAAAAAACTGATAAATCGGACTCCGTTAAAATGAAAAACTATGCTTTCAAAAGATCTTGTTAAGAAGATGAAAAGAAAAGCCACAGAGTGAAAAGTGTTTACAAGCCGCCATCCCTGTCCAAGGACTCGGATCTGCCATTTGTGAGGATCCCTCGAAACTCAACAGCAGAGCAGCGAGCAGTACCGAGCGGGCTCCAGAGTCAGCAAACGGCTCTAGAGAAGGCGGTCACGTCCACCAGCCGTCAGGGGCGCGCCCCTCGAGCACACCCGTCAGAATGGCCAACGTGGAAAGAGCGACAGCACCAAACGCCAGCGAGGGCCAGGAGGACCGGTGCTCGGACGTGGCTGGCGGGGGTGCTTGACGGCGCAGCTACTCTGGAAAGCGGTTTGGCAGTTTCTTAAAAAATGAAATGTGCGCCTACCACGCCGCCCAGCAGTGGGAACAAACTCCTGTCTGTCTGCACGCAGCGGCCTGCGTGAGTCTGTGGAGGGTCACGCTGAGCGAAACAAGTCCAGCCCCAAAGGCTGCAGGCTGCTTGATTCCTTTTACGTGACATTCTTGAAATGACAAAATCCGAGAAATGGTGAGCAGAGGAGAGGTGGCCGGGGTTTAGGGAGGGCTGAGGGGGTGGGCTCGGAAGGGAGGGAACTGGGTGTGGGCGTCAAAGGGCAGCGTGGGGGCCCCTGCGCTGATGGAATGTTCTGTATCTCAACCGCTTCGGCGTCATGTCCTGCTGGGCTCTTGTACCACAGTTTTGCAAGATGTTGCCACTGGCAGACATGGTGCCACGAGCACATGGGACCTCGGTGTTATTTCTTACACCTACGTGTGAATCTACAATTATCCCAAAATAACAAGTGTAACTTAAAAGAAGAAAAAAGGACACTTACAGGACAATTGGGGAATTATGAACACGAACTGGCTTTTTTAGTGTGATGGTGGCATTCTGTTTTTGTTTTAAAATGTTAGTCTAGACGCTTACATTGAAATATTTACAGATGACGTGGCCTGTCTGGGATTAGCGTGAGCGTCAGGCAAGCGGGGGCTGGGCAGGTGAGACCCTCGTGGGAACATGACCCACGTACCGCTGGCTGTTGGAGCTGGATGGGGAGCGGGGGGTCTTGAACGCTGCCCGGCACACGTGGTCACCAGGAGGAAGCCTTGGGAGCTGGCAGCTTGGCCAGCAACTCTGGGGATGGTCAGCCTGCTTTGAATGTTGGCTCAGCTGCTTCTCAGCTGGGTGACCTCGGGCAAGTGACTTAACCTCTCTGAGCCGCAGTGTCCTCATGTCTCAGAAGGAAAGAAAGGTGCTCACCCGAGTGGTGGGGCGGGGGGGAAGCTCGTGCAGGAGGCCCAGGAGCTGCTAGAGTGGAGACACACAGTCGGGTTGGGCAGGGTCTTGGAATTCAGGACAAGGCCTCAGGAAGGGCGTTAAGCAGATGACAACTGAGAAGGAGCCGTCAGACTGGGGTTCAGAGCAGCACCGGTGCTGACGACGGCCTGGGCTTGGGATGAGGCTGGACCCCAGTTCAGGTGCTGGCGGGCGGGTGAGAGGCTGGAGGGTGGCCACCCCACTCGGACCTCGTCGGGTGGAGGGGAGGCAGCTCCAGAGGGTAGAGCTGTTGAGGGGGTGAAGGAGCAGGGCAGAGACGGGACGGGACGGAGAGAGGGGGGCCGGCGGGGGCACGGTCCACGGAGGTGTGGGTGCTGCCAAGGTGTTTCATCCACTCCGATGTTCCCCCTTCCTGCTCATGGGCTTCCTTCGAGGCCCGTTCGAACAGCCATTTAAAAAGAAAGCACGTTGTGGGACGAGGGGGAATTATGAATGCTGCCTAGGTTTTAGCTGGAACTGGTTTTGTTTTAAAAGGTTAGGTTTGGGTTTTTATAGATTGACACTAAAATACGGATGAAATGATGTGTCTGGAACTTGCTTTGGAGCCTGAAGAAAATGAGACGGACTTCGCCGTTTTTCTGGGGAGAAGTTCTGGAACCCCGGCACGTGTCAAGCCCTCGAGAGCGCCCCTTATCGCTGGGTGTCCCCACGCTTCGCACGTGAGCTGCTGCACCCTGACAGAGGTGGCCTCACGTGTTCGGGCTCCAGTGACCAGCCTTCCGCCGCTGCACCGACACCTGCACTCGGGGCGTGTGTCCAGCGGGAACCGGCGGGAAGGCTTCCTCGTCTCCGTCGGTGGGGGTGGGGCCAGGGCCCCCTTCAGTCCCCAGGGACTGGAGGACTCAGGTAACGAGTCCTTAGAGGACGGCCAAGAGCCTCCCAGCCTCCTCTGTCAAGGCTGAACTGACCCAGAGGACATTTTCCATGTCCCAGAGCCGCCAACCTCTCTCCCGGCTAAACTCAGCCTCTGCCCGTGGGATGTGAGGATGCGGGAGTCTGTGAGCCCTGGCACTTCAGCCACGCACCCCGACCTGCTCATCACCCCGCCAGCGACTGGGCTCCATGGCCCCCTGCGGAACAGACACCGGCGAGCCATGCAGCCTTCAGCCAAGAGCTGACCTTTATTGAAGGAGCACGTTCCTGCGTCACGAGCAAGACGATCGCAGAGGGGCCGGTTTAAAACAGCTCCCCGCTTGCATACCGCTCTGTCCACCCAGAAAGCAGTGACAGGATATTTATTGTACAACGAACTCTTCCCACCCCAAGAGTATCATGAGAGTTCACAGATTTGTCAACAGACGATGCGAAGCAGCACTTACAACAAGCAGAGTAAGTTCACAACTGAGACCCCTATGCTATAATTCTAAACCCAACTGTGTGTGCTTTTCCAGGTGAGGAAGACCAGTCATTACAAAAATACTTTGTATAAATTCTGAGTCAGATCTAAAACATTCAATCCTATAAAATTATCTTTTACTAATAAAAGTGTCAATTTTTAGAGAAACGATCTGTATCGACAACAGTTATGTCCTTAAATTTTCAGGAACTACCCACTGCCAGATGGCCCACTCACACCCACGCGTTGAAGTCGCGCGAGGCCCGGCTGTCAGGGGTGGACCACACGCTGATTAAGCGGCACAAGAGTGACCCGGTTTCTCTACAGAAAGTTACCTCAAGTATCTACGTGTTACAAAAGCCGTTTGAAAGGACAAAGTCCCAGCCTAGAGCCGGGACCCCGGGGGCACCGCCTTGCGGAGAAGCCCCAGCTTTGTGACAACCAGCCAGCCACGCGGGGCCTCGGTGCTCAGCGGGGAAAGCCGGTGACGGCGCCCTGCCCGCCCTCGGAAATCAGCTCGTTCATCTCGTTCTGCTTGCTCTCTCTGAGGGTGTGATTGGGGTGATTTCTTTGCGTCTGTGCTCGTCTCGATCTGAAACACACCTTCAGGAGCAGGTAGCACAGCTCGGCCACGTTCAGCAGCATGCAGATCACAGACGCGGAGATCATGAAGATGGTGAACACGGTTTTCTCTGTGGGTCTGGAAATGAAGCAGTCCACCAGGTTGGGGCAGGGGTCGATGCCACACTTCAGCACCCAGGGCAGGTGGTAGCCGTTGTACAGGAAGTAGAAGACGTACATGAAGGCCGCCTCGAAGATGATCCGGAAGAAGATGCTGCTGGTGTAGGTCCACCACAGGGAGCCCTCGATGCGGACCTTCTGGCTCTTGATCTCTTCAATGTCCTTGAATTCGTTCTTTATCTCTCCCTTAATGAACTTCCTTTTCTTCTCGTGTCTGTGGTAGGCCACGTGCATGGCCACCAGCAGGGCGGGCGTGGACACGAAGATGAGCTGCAGCGCCCAGAGCCGGATGTGGGACACGGGGAAGAAGTGGTCGTAGCAGACGTTCTTGCAGCCGGGCTGCAGCGTGTTGCAGGTGAAGTCGGCCTGCTCGTCCCCCCACACCTCCTGGGCGGCCACCACGAGGATCATGACGCGGAAGATGAAGAGGACGGTGAGCCAGATCTTCCCGATGCTGGTGGAGTGCTTGTTCACGCCCCCAAGGAACGTGTGCAGGGTGCCCCAGTCCATCGTGCGGGCAAGTCCTAGACGTTAGCAAAGGTGGGTTAGTTAGTGGAAACTTCCCTCGATTTCTACAACTGCTGCCGCGTTACGGACTGAGGCACACTTCTCTCGATGACGTGCGCTGTGGCGTCTTGTCACCTCGGCCGCTAAGCTGCTGGGGGCTTTCTGACAAGGAGCACCCACCCGGGAAGCCCTCTACCCTCCTTCTGGGGCTTTCAGACCATCCTGATTCAGCTGGACTCAGACTGTGTTCAGCGACACCAAGGCAGGAACTCAGGCACACAAGTTCATTTCCAAGCTCCCTCTGAATCACTGTTTCCTTTTGTCGGAGGATCATGGAGGTTCCATGGTAGATCATTAATTAAACGGCTTATCCAAGAAAAAAAAACCATTCACTGGAATGACATAATCTGGTTTGCCTGGCAGACTCAGAAGGGAAAAGGAAGCCAAACACTTGCTGGTTCCTTTCTGTAACACACTGCTATTTATTCCCAACTCCAGGAACATCATTTGCCAGAATCACATGTTCTTGGGAAACTGCTGAAAAAGCCTCTTCCAAAAGGGAACCCGAGGCTATCACGAAAAGTGCTCACTTTTCTCCACCGTACCGGGCAGTCCTGGCTTCCTCTTCCCCCCAGGTGCCCTTCACACTGGAAACCCCGGGTGAAGGCTCATCTCCTAGTTGCTGCAGAAGACCCAGCCTTCCGCTCAGAGAAGAAGGATCATGAACCCTCTGAGAACCTTCTGAAAGTGAAAACCCTCTCTTCAGAAAAACACGGCTCACAGGTTTCCTGCACCTGTGGGGGGGCTCGCGGGGGAGGGGTGCCGGAGGAGGGGCTGCTCCCCACGCGACCACCGCCCCGTGCCCAGAGCACCCTGCAGCACCGACCTCGGGTCCTCGCACCTTCCAGGGCTCCCTCCAGATCCACCCGGGACCGGCCTGCACGCCATCCTCCCGGGCTTAGAGCAGAAGGACGAGCATCAGGAGACAGACTCACAAGGATCCGGCTGGGGTACCACTGCCCCCTCCTGCCACGGTCACTGCCCCCACACTCTTCCAGTCCAGGAGCAGAAGTGGGCGGGGGCTCCTCCCCCTCACTCACACCCTCCCCGAGGAGCAGCCCCCGAGGCCCTTTCCTAAACTTCTGGTTACAGAGGATCTGAAGGCCAGTACGCTTCAAAAATCACTTCCCAAAGTCACTGCCTCCGTCCGGGTCTCACAATTAGGGTTAAACAAAGCGCCTCTCTCCTCTCCTGCCTCAAGCAGGCTGCAGCCAAGGGAGAAGCGGCTTCAATAAAAAGTAAAATATTAACTCTTTCTTTGTGACCCCGAGAGGGTTAAGTGGCACCTTCTGGGCTCTCTCTTAGGAAGAACAGATACACTCTGCTTCCTCGTCTTCACCGAGCAGGAATCACGGAGGCGCGTGGCACTTGGTGGAGGAGGGTCTGATCACGGTGGACAGCCAGCTCCAGCCCAGACACTTAGCTCCAAAGATAAAATCACTGACCTTTCTTCCTCTTCTTTTTCTGGCGGAGCACTGGGGGTGGCACCCGGGACCCGCCATGCTGAGCCCACGCACCACCCGGGATGTACCCTCCCACCTCCTTACTTCTGATCAGACCACAGTCCTGTGAAGAGACACTGAACGTCCCTTTCACAATTGGAATCACTTAAGTCTATTAGCATTCTGCTCAGTGACATCATTTCTTGACTGTCTTAAACTTCTTAAGAATTTAATCATGACTGTTTTGCTTAACAAAGTCGTTTTACTTTCACTGATGGGCCCTAAACATGACAGGGTCCCAGAGTCCTCTCCGCAGGCAGCATGAGGGCCCCACGCCCCCCATGACCCTTCCCAAGTCCTTCCCGGGTCTCTGATGGACCTGGGAACAGAACAGGGCCCCATCTCCATGTCGGCTTTGGGCTGCTGAGGAGCCTCCCCTGAGAAAGGGCAGTAAAGTCAGAGTAAAACCAGTGGCCTCAGCCTCACTTTAGGGACTCACAGCTCGGGGGCCAGAGAAGACTCAGGGCAAGGTTTCCTCTTCAAGGGCCCGGCTTCCTTGCACCATCGGGCACCTCACCAGGCAGCCGGCGTCGCTCAGCAACCCCAGGAAGGTGGATCTGCGCGGCGCCCCGGTCCGTGAGGATGTGACCTGTGGAGGACAGTACTAGACGTGGCCGAAGTTCCTCAGGGCTCCCTGGTGTCTCCTGCATGACCCCGTGGTGGTTTTCCCCTGGGCCCAGCCAGTCTCCTGATGCTCTGAACTTCAAATACACAATAACATCAAAATAAAATCTTTTCCCTATCAAGATAATAGTAATATTAACAATATTAGTAAGATATTAAGATAATGATAACAATACAATAACAATACAAGCCCCAGCCCATCCCTGGAACAACAGAAAAAGGAGAAGATAGAGTTTGAGAAACTGGATACACGCCCTTACCCCCAGGTCAGCAATCCAAAAAAAAATCTCAAAGTCTCTCTTTAATCAAAAAGTCTTTTCCTTTTGTCTTTGGAGATCTCAGCTCATTCCAGGGACAGACAACCTGATGGCCGATTTTTAAATTTAACGGCTCAAAACCTCATCAAAGCTGTCCCTTCAGAGCAACGGCAGAGAGGAAAGTATTCATATACTTCTCCAAAATTAGCTCAGTAAAGACGGAAACCACTCTCTTTATGGAGTCTACCTGTAAAAATGGACCATTCATAGGACTACATGTATTTCTTAATCCATTAAAGAATTCAGAGTTAAGTCCCCCCCGATTTAGCATCTCTGTTCATTCAAGCAGCCTGTGTCCTTTCCAAACACGCAGGTCCAGCTGGAGGTAAATGATCATGGGAATGAAAATGGAAAGGCTCTCCGGGGACCCAGCTCCACTCTCAGGGATCCAGTGAGTCAAACAGAAGTCTTAGCAGGATAATGGAGCCACTGGAAGGACGCTGCCCTCAAGGACCCAGAGGCTCGGCCAGAAATCATCTGCTCACAATTTTACTCGAACATTTAACTCAAGTATACAAACCACTCACAGTTCCCGGAACATTCCGATTGAATTGGGGGTGCTGGTGAGGGTTTTCAAGTTAGAATTTTCCCCTCATCCTATTGAAATTGTTGTCAGAAGTTCTGTTGGTTCTTTCCCTTCATAAAGCTCTTCGAATCCAGAAGAGACAAGTAAGAAAAAGAGAATGAAGTCCCCGTTTCCTGCATGAGAATTTGTTTCAAAACGAAAACACGAGCAAAGCAGCTGGACTGGCTGGGTTGCGTCACGGGGGTGACAGCAGGGGGGACCCTGCCCCCCAGTTGTTCCCCCAGGCTTGGGTGGACGTCCTCCCCCTGGGTGGCTGGGCTCCAGCACCACCCCCGGACGCGGCGGGATCTGGGCAGCAGACAAAGCTCTGCACAGCGCGTCCGGCAAGGCTAAGGAGACTGGCGGGGGCAGGACGTCTTCTTCCAGGACACTGGTCAGACGCTGACAGAACTGAGGCACGAAGGTTTCTGTGGCATCCAGTCTGCCCAAGGAAAGGACCCCCACGGTGCATGGCTAAATTCAACCAGGGCTAAACCCACAGCCAGATCCCACCTTGCGGCCACTGAGGTCGCTGGCCTGGGGCCCTCAGCCCCTCCAGGCGACCCGAGCTGCGACGGGCTGCACTCACCTCAGACTCGGTCCTCCTCTCCAGGAAGGGAGGCCAAGCTGGTCAGAAAACCACACCGTGCCGGGTGCTACCTGGGACTGGTCTGCTTCACCGGACAGGAACTCCCTTCTGGTGCCTCCACCTTCTAACCGAGATGTGTCACCAGGACACTTAATTACTGTTGTCCGGTGCTGTTACTGCCGCGTGTGTCTCATCATGCAGCCGCACCGGCCAGTTCTCCCCGGGCTGAGGGACCGGCCCCCGCCTCCAAATGCGAGCCGGACTCTGCCGGCGACCCATAGAAGCGAAGAAAATCGAAACGCAGCAGAGGAAGTGGGGGAAAGGGGCATTTGTCCGTACACACGACGTGATGCATCTAGAAAACCCGTTGTGCAGGTCAGGGGGGACGATCTGGGGTAAAAGTCAAACCAGTCCATCCTCGTTCCTGCGAGCGCGCCAGGACGATGCGGGTCCCAGGCTGGTAAGTTTTGTCCAGGCAACGACAACGCGGACAGCACCCCACCCGCGGGACCGCCGGAGCGATGGCCAGCAGGGCGACAAGGGGCAGGGGCCACGGGCTTTCCACCTACCTGCTCTGGCTTCTCGGGGGCAATTCCTCCGCCC